GTCGCCTCTGCATGACTGAGGGCTGTGCCATTGCTATTGGAATCCCCAGGGCTTGGAAAGGCAAAATTCTGCGTCAGTGTCCCAGCCCGCCCTGACAGTGGGCACCATGCTTTCTACTCCAAACTCTTGGTACGCTCTGCTGGAGATACACTCTGAGGTTCTGTGGCCACCAGGTTAGACTCCTGCCAGCTCCCCTCAGACCCCATGTGTCTGGGACTACCCCTTCAGCTCCCACCTTGCTGGGGCGTTGCCTCGCATATCCAGCCCTTTTCTGCCTGCCAGTCAGCACCCGGCCTGTGACCTGTGGGCCCTATTCCCTGGAACAAGGCTGCTCCTGAGAATGTTGCCATCAGTGGATCGGCTTCTCGTAAGGTGGCAAGACGGCAGCATGCCTGTGCCCTTTAGACATCTCCTTGTAGTGTTCTCTCCATGCTTCTCAGGCGAGTGGGTTCTGTGGGAATCCACTCTTAAAACACCTTTCTAGGCTTGGGGAAGGGGGGATATCTCAGTGGTGAAACCCCAGTATGGCCCAAACCAGACTCTCCTGAGCTCTGAATGTGTGCTGTCCTACCAAGGCTTGGCACAGGGCGGCTTCTTGTTTCCGGAAGTAACTACACAGTCACCGAATAGCTTGCATCCTGTTAACTGGAAACGACTTCTTGTTTCCTTTGTTTGCTGCCCAACTCGAGCCAGGTAAGGGCAGTGAGGAGTTGGCTGCAGGTTTGTTCTAGAATTGTGGAAGCAGAGGTGTCCTTGGCAAAAGATGCAGCTGCTGTGACTGTGACCGTGATGATGGTCTCGTTTCTCCAGCGCTGTGGCACTTAATGAAGGAGGCAGACTCCCGATTGCACCCAGGCAGTGTCTCTGCCAAGCTCTGCCAAGGGCAAGTGAGCTGAGCTGAGGGACTAAGCCAACCAGAGAGCAGGCCCCCCACCTTCCCCTCCTCAGCCCTGTGAGCTGGGGAGCCCCCACTGCCAATACTGCCACCCGTAACCCCTGATCTCAGCAATGCAAAAAAATCCTACTTGACCTAAGAGTGGAAGGGAATGGATGTTAAATGTTGTCTCCCAGATGCCAGAATTTCTGCCCAACAAAGAGCCACTGTCCATGGGCTGGGAATGACAGATCCCTGCTGGCAGAGCATCCCAGTCTTTGGTTGTGACATCCCAATATGCTGTGGCCTGACAGCTGTCAACCAGGGCCAGACCTAATTTCCTCCACCAGGCTGGCTTACTGTGACCATCCCGGCTCTGGGGAGGAGTGCAGCCAGCCACTCTGACCTGAAGAACATGTAAAGGCCACTTGGGGTACAGCAGCTCGCTAGAATACGGGGCATGCATCACGTGGTGACTTATGTAACCCCTTACGTAACAGCAGCATTTCTATCAAAGTCCTGCCTGCAGCAAGTGTCAACCACAATCAGGCCTGACTAGGGATGGGAGGCGTCGGGTGGAAGTAAGCTCTTTGGGCTGCTGGGATGAGCGCTTCCTGCCCTGGCTGCCCAGCTTCATGGTTGATGACGACCCCCAGTATGACGATGCCCACAGAATGACTGGGACCTCAGGTGATCATGGGTAGTTGCAGCCTTGTGGTCAGCTCCAGCAGCAACAGAGGCAGGGTGGTATAACTCAGGAGCCCCAACCTTGGTAAATGCTTTGATTTCTGCCGATACAAACCAGGGCAGATTTAACCTCACTTACTAGTCTGGGATTTAACCACCTCACTTGCTATACCCTTAGTATAGCAAGGGGTCAGAGACGGAGTTTAAGGACAGGATGCTCCAGGAGAGATGGCACGGCCATTCTTTCTCCATTACTCATGGGCTCAGGAGAGCAGACTTCAGGAAGGAATTTGACGGGAGAGACTGTGTACACAGCAGGCCTTGTCTGCTTTCTGATGTTGGGGAAAGTAGTTGAGTTTTCATAAGTATGGCATACGGGGTGGGCATGGCTGCTACCCCTGCTCTACAGAGGGCACTGAGGCATGAATGATGAGACTTGCCAAGGAGTGGCCGTGATGGGTTATAAACCCTCATGGCAATGAACTGTGTCTCAAATTCCTTGCCCTTAAGGTGGAGGAATTGCAGCCCCTGGCAAACTTGATACTGTGATTAAAACTCCTCAAAAAATAAAGAAGAGGCTACCTGGCAGGCAGCCAACACCTTTCCCTCCTCCTCAGTTCTCCACAGAGCTGGATCCAGCTTTCCCTGCGAAGTGAAGCTGGTGTGGTACAAACAGTGTGACAGTTGTGAATTTGTGCCCCAGTGTTCTGTCCCTGCTCGATCCTGGCCCCACATTCCTGACACTACCTTGTACTCCCACCCTCAAACCCATCACAGACAGACACTTCACCTTGACCGTGTCCTCTCCTGCCCTTCGAATGCTGAGCCCTGTCAGGTCAGGCCACTGGCCAGGAATGAAAAGTCAGTTTAATCTCAACTGTCAATTCGGATTTGATTGGTGATGCCTCCAAGGAGCCTTGAGGGATGATTCCAAGGCCAGCATGGAATTTGGAATGCTCTGATCAGCTAGTGATGTCTGCCTTGAGGGTGGATAGAGATGGTCTCTGGGTGCCAGATCCCTGATTCCAGGTGAAGCTGACAGGACACAAAGCTTGGCATTATAGTAATCCAACCACTGCAATTTTAGTCAAGCAAACAGAACACCAGAGAAGGGCAGTGACTTATCCACACACGTCTCCCTTTAACCAGAACCCAGATCTCTTGCTTCCCAGGGCAGAGTGCCTCAGTTCAACTTGACAGGTTTTTGTTTTCCTTGAGATAAGGTTTTACTTTATAGCCCAGGCTAGCCTGGAACATGTGACCCTCTTGCCCCTACAGGCTCAGGGACCATACCAGGCTACACATTTACTAACATGCTTCAATACCCAGCTGGGTATTAGCCATAGTAAACATCTTACATATCTAATGGTATTAAAAATTGTTTTGGAGATTTTATTTATTGTTTATGTATATGAGTATTTTGCCTGCATATGTCTGTGCACCACATGTGTGCAGTATCATGGAAGCCAGAAGGTGGCATTGGATCCTTTGGAACTGGAGTGATAGATGATTGTGAGCTGCCACATAGGTGCTAGGAATCAAAGTGTGGGTCCTCTGGAAAAGCATCCAGTGCTCTTAACTGCTGAGCCATTTCGTTCTCACAGCCACCCTATGGGATGGATCCCAGTATTTCCCCACACTTGGCAAATGAGACTATGGCTCATGGAGGTTAACTGATTTAACAGCAGCAAAGAGGATGAACCAGGGAGGGTTCAAACCCTGCCTCCCTGACTCGAGACCCTGGGATCTTTCTAATAGCTTATGAGTGTGATGTGTGACAGCCATCACAACCTGGGAGAAGACCCTGAGACAGAGTGTGGGCACTCTGGGGTGCTGAGACAATGAGAAGTTTGGTGTCGTGCAGAGGGGTGGAGGTCAGCGCAGGAGTGGGGTGATACGAGATATGAAAGGAATGTTAGATTCTTCTTCCATTTTTGCACTTATGAGGCATACAATAAATGCTTGATGCCTGAGTGGATGATTGCAGAAGCAAAATGGAACATGAAGTAACATGGCTGGCTGACTCTTGAGTGTACCTCTGGTGCCTGACTCGAGCCCTGAGCACACCTTCCCTCTCAGCTGCATGTCATAAACACACACCACCATCATCATAGGAACCCTTGCCTCCAGGCAGCAGGATTTCAAAAGGAACGGTAATGGAAATGGCCGCATACCTGCCTCCAAGGTGGTGATCTTATTATCTCCAGAGGCAAATAAGTAGTGACTGGATCGCCACCTAGCAGGGAGATGGCAACCTGCAACCAGTCACCAAAACATACTGGAGAAATTGGCTGAGGACCATTAACCTTAAAGGGTCAAAGATCCAGGGATGCTGAGGGTCACCTGGAACTAGTGACCCCTGGATGTGTCCCCAAGGAAGAGGCGCCTTTTTATGCGGCCCTCCTTCCTCCCTTCTTCCTTCACACTTCCATCGCAGCCCCTTTCACACACATACTAGTTGTAAAGTAGATCCAAAGACCTCTCCGTGCTCCTTACTGTGGGAAGTGGAGACTAAGACCTTTCCCTTGGCATGGGTTTAGTGATTCCCTTCTAATGAATGTCTGTTCATTAGAAGGAAAAGTGACTGTGCAAGTTCTAGGCCGTGTTAGACACAGAGGTGTGGGGGTGAGTGTGTAGGCAGCTGAATGGACATGTAGGTGTGGAGATGGACAGATGGACAGATAGGTGGATGGGTAAATCAATGTATGTATGTATGTATGTATGTATGTATGTATGTATGTATGTATGTGTAATGTGAATGAATGGATAGACAGACGGATGGATGGATGGATAGATATATAAGTGGATGGATGAAGTGGGGTGTGTGAATGGATGAGTGAGCAGTTGGAAGGATGGGTGGACTGTCATTTAAAAACTTCTGGGTTCCTCAGAAGCAAAGTTTGGTATGACTAATTGAGTGGTGGCCATAATTTCTTCCCATGCTTCAAGGCTTTCTGTCTGTGAGGTTGCCCCACATAGGAATGCCCTTTTAACCACCCTTTAGTTCCCATCTTGTCTGCTTACCTGATCCCTACTGTCTACTTCTTTTTCAACAGATGCTGTGTGCCCCAGGTGGAAGGGACCTGAGGGACCAGGAGAAGCACCTCAGGCTGGGGGTAAGGGGCCTCGGTTTTGGGTCTTAGCCCTGCCTCTCACCAGCTGGGCAACTCCTCTGTCAGGCTGTGGACCCCTGCCCTGTCCTTGGAGGACACTAAGAAAAGGTTCACAGCATGCTTGTCTCGGGGCTGGATTGGCTCTGCCGCCCATCAGCACCATTCACCTCATCCCACCATTGATTTGACGAGGAAACAGGCCAAGAGGTAGTGATTAGTTCTAAGAAACTTGGGCAATTGATAGCTGGAATCTTAATTCTGAGACCCACTTCTGCCTTCCCTCTCTTCTCCCCCCGCCCCCCCCCCCCCCCCCCCGCAATTGAAAATAGATTTTTTTCATACAATATATTGTGGTTACAGTTTACTGTCCCCCAAATCCTCCTAGATCCTCTCCACTTCTCTTCCCATATCCACATCTCGTCTCCCCTTAGAAAACAAACAGGCATTCTGAACCCACCTTCAGGATTCTCTTCTGTGTGCTTTGCCTTCACTAGCCACGAGGGGGCGCCTGTGGAACCACTCAGGTTTTCTATGCACTTGTAAACTCAGGACTTGCCAGGCAAGCAACCGCTCAGGCCCTTCTCAGAACCATGACAAGAGTCCCCTCCACCTCAGTGCTTTCATGATACCTAAAGCCCCCCTCATTCTCCTCCCTTACCTCAACCCGTGGTCCTCTAACTCCTATATTCTTCTTCTTTTCCTGAGCAGAGTTGGGATCATTGAAAAGCCTTTGTTGTTCTGGCCACATGTGGCTCACATTTGCAAGCATGGCTCCTTACTTCAGGGTTACAGAATGTTCCTGAACATCTACTTTCATTCCATCCATCTATTCCGAAAACATCGGCTCCACATCTGGAGAGATGGAGGAGCGGGGAAGGGGATTAAGGACACGTCAGACAACCTTGCTTTCAGAGGAAAGCATGGTGTGGCAGAAGATGACATGGCTATAACCAGCTGGGCCTGGCATTGCAGGCTGGCCATCCCAGTTACTTGGAAGGCTGAGACAGGAGGATTGAAGATTCCAGACCTGCCTGTCTCAGAATTAAAAGTAAGAATGGGCTATAATTCAGTGGGAGAGTTCCTGCCTAGCATGTGTGAAGGCCTAGGTTAGATCCCCAGCAAATAGGACAAAATAGCACAACACAACAACCAATGACTCCTTTTTACGTGTTGCTTGGAAGCAGGAAGAAAGCCTGAGGGTGGAAGGCTCAAGGCTGTTCTGGAAGCTGTAGATCCTAAGTTGAGCCCTAAGGATGCCAAGTGGTTGATCAGGCAGGTAGGACCTGAGGTTTCTGAGCAGCCACAGGAGAGAGACCTTTGCCTACAGGTCCTCACCTCTAAACTCAACTCCTCACGGCAGCTCTGACGTGAACAGACCTAGCCAGCAGCCAGTAGAGGGCACTGTGACCTTTCTAAGCATAGCCTGGAGGCTGCAGACTATGGAGTTGGTCAAAGTCATTCTCTGGGCTCCTCTGGGTAGGGGAGCTCCATTCTCCTGACCCCAAGCTGGAAAGCTGGAAATTGAAGGTAGGGGAAGGACACAGCTCTTGGGGTGAATGAGACCCAGATGCAGTATTAGGGGGCTAGTACAGCAGAGGATGAGGGTCAAAGAAGCTGTCCAAGGATGGATTAACATCAGCTATGAAGACAAGACAGAGCATGGTCACCCTCTTCCCCCAGAAGCCCTAAACAGCCCTAAAGTATTGTTCTTGTGACATCTCCACCCCATTCCCTGGAGAAAGGAGTTACACAGGGAACATATTAAGCCCCTAGGCCACCTTGGGACTGTAATACATCTCCAGCATTTCAGCAGCTGGAGAGGACCTTGACAATCAGAAGCTTGGCAGCACCCAGACGTTCAAGGCTGGGGGAGGGGGGAGGGGGATAAAAAATGCTCTGGTGCAACCAGGTTTTTCAGATGCCACAATGACCACAGAATGCTTGTCATGGCTATAAGCAACGTAGGGTCATTCTTCCTGTCTCCCTTCATTTACAGATGGAAGACTATGATGAGGAGATGGGGTCCTGGCCTCGTCACCCAGCTGGGTGAGGTGGTATCTTCCTCCTGAGGCTATGCAAGGTCTGCGTTTGGCTCAGAGCTCAGAACTCAGCTGATCGTGGCCACAGACACAAGAAGGCTAGAAAGGTGCCTGGTTCTAGGTAGGCACTCAATGGCTTCTTGGTCACTGTTCTCATGCTGTGAAGAGCCACCATGACCAAGATTACTCATATTAGAAAGCGTTTAATTGGGGGTTAGCTTACAGTTACAGAGATTTAATCCATTGTCGTCGTGGCGGGAACATGGTAGCAGGCAGGCATGGTGCTGGAGAACTAGCTGAGAGCTACATTCCGGTAAGCAAGCGGAGAGTGAGAACTAGGCCAGGCATGGGCTTTTGAAATCCCAAAGCCCACCCCCAGGCATGCATTTCCTCCAACAAGGCCATACTTCCTAATCTTTGTAGTATTTCTAAATAGTGCCGCTCCCTGGTGACTAAGCATTCAAATATAAAAGCCTACAAGGGCCATTCTTATTCAAACCAGCATAGTGGCTCTTGGCTAGATTAACAAATAACTCAAGCTCACTGGGAGCAAACTGTATGCCCCAGACTCAATATGCAGGGTGCCAAAGGTGGGCAACTTGGGTGGCAGCTAGTTGCTCCTGGTGTCAGATGAGTCCACCAGCGGGGATAGCCTTTGGGAGGGTGTTGATCCTCCCAGGGTGGCCCCTGTTGAGGAAGCAGGGGTAGGTTGATTTGTTTCAACTGACCTTAATCCAAGACTAGCCTGGGTAGAATTCTGTGTTCAAAGGCAGATAAAGGGCCACAGTCATACATCGAGTCTGGGCACCCTGGAGAGAGAACTGAAGGTGGGCCAGTGAGGGGGTTGGAAGGTGGGCTCTGAGGAACATGGCTGAGCACAAGTTTGGGTGAGATAGGACCCATTAGAGCACGGAGGAGCCTCCTGAGTGACACAGGCACTAGCCATGGGGAGGAGCCTGAGGTTGGCGGAGGGGCTGAGTGCCACCTTCCTTCTTGCAAGCCCTGATGCTTGTGAGCTGCCTGGCCTGACCACTGGGCCTTTTTCCTTTGGCCTCAATATGACATGCATGAAACCCAGAAGTTTCTTGCCTGTCTGGAGAGACAAGCCCCAAGCTTGGAGCCTCTCTTAGGTGTGGACTGAAAAGGACACACAGTGGCTCAGGGACTGTCCTCAGAAGATGCAAGGGGCAGAGACCTCTTGGGTACCCGCCTCCCCCATCAGACTCACAGCCATCTCCTTACCACAACCTCCAAAGAAGATGTGTGTTCAGGGCCTGGGAGTGCTGTGGAGGCCCAAGACAGCAGTCTGCTTCCACCCCAGGGCTGCTCAGACTCCCAAGCAGAGGCCACAGGTGAGCTGGAGGCACACTGGGCTGCAGGGCATGTCTATCATGTGTTGTGGGTCACATGGGTCATTCGTATCTGCTTCATCAAGGACATTTTGGTCTTTCTGGTTGGCTTGGATTTGGTCTCTGAGTCCAGCAGGAATGACCCGGGGGTTGGCAAAGACACATGGAAGCCAGTGGTCAGAGTCGCTTCTGGGCTGGTCATTTAGGGCACACCTGGCCTAAAGGATGAGCCCCAAGTAGAACTTGAACTCTGGACCTCCAACAGTCTCCCTGGCCATGAGTTTCTCTCTATCTCTCTATCTCTATCTCTCTCTGTCTCTGTCTCTCTTCTCTTCTCTCTCTCTCTCTCTCTCTCTCTCTCTCTCTCTCTCTCTCTCTCTCTCACACACACACACACACACACACACACACACACACACACACACCACACAGAGTTATTTTCTCTAGGTCCACCCCATTACCATAGATGCTCAACAGGTTAAGATAAGGAGGCCCCTCCCACTTCTGTTCCTTCCTCCTGGATCTTCCCAGCCAGCAGTCCCTGATGCCAGCTCTGAAGGCTCCTTCTAGGAAAACTGAGAAAGGCTCTGAAGGGTGGGATGTAGCACGAATCTTAGAAGGTCTTATTAATAAAAGCAAACCCGAGGCCAGTTATAGGGGTGAATGCTGGAAGATCAGAGAGACAGAACAAGCCACAGCTTCCTCACCTTGCCAATTCCTCAGCTGATTTTGTTTCCTCAGACTGGAAGCTCTCAGTCTTCATCCAGAATGAATCTTAGCTGAACTGCTACTCAAAAACCTAAAAGCTTAACCAGCTCTAGTTCCTTGTCCTCACACCTTAAATATCTTTCTGCTTTCTGCCGTCACTTCCTGGGATTATAGGCTATTGTTACCACGCCTGGCTGTTTCCAGTGTGGCCTTGAACTCACAGAGATCCGCCTGGAATGCTAGGATTAAAGGCGTGTGTGCCACCACTTTCTGGCCTCTATATCTAGTGGCTGTTCTGTTCTCTGACCCCAGATAAGTTTATTAGGGTGCACAATATTTTGGGGAACACAATATCACCACAGTGGGACATCTCTGACTCCTTCCAGGTGGCATTTGTTGGCATACACGTGGGATACACACTTCTGAGCACAGCTCTGTGCCGGCTTTTCCTGGGTTTATTCCCCCAACCAACCAGTCCATCAATGGTCATTACTTGAAGAGACAGGCTCTTAGCATCTCTGACTCACCTCACTTTTAATACCCGCAAGGTCTGTTTGTTCGGATTTGTACTATAACATTGAGGACAGCACTTTAACACCAAAGTCTGTGATGAGTCATTTTTTTCCCCTGAATGATTAATGAAAGATTTAAAGTTATTTTGATCCTAAGAACAGACATTTTTTAGGAATTTTCTTAATGTCATGTAAAGGAAACAGTCCAGGCTGTGGTGGATAAAGGTGAGACCATATTGGCTCTTAACACTGAGAAGTCCACTGTAGTGTTGGTTGCAGGAGTGGCTGGCTCCAGAATTCAGTGTCTCCAGGATCAGACTACTGCCTGACTTTCCCATATGCCAGCCTGCTGCAGGCTAAAACCCCAGGGTTCCCAGGAAACACTGTGAGCCACCAATTCTGTTCTTGCCTCACCTCAGATTTTAGGTTTAGGAGATAAAAGTGAGAGTTTCTTCTTCAGGAGTCTAAGGGTAAACCTCCCTGTTAGTTCAGTCAGGCTACAATGCAATGCCTGCATCAAAATTATGTCCCTCTGGCTCAAACCACAAACGTAACTTTTATGGCCAAGGGAGGCACCATGTGGGTGTTCCTGCCTCCTTCCCAGGCAGCTGTCCAAGGAGGGCTATTCTTTCCTATGTGGTTCCGATGCCCTGGGCTAGAGGCCTGCACACTCTCTGTGGAGGCTACACGCTAAACATTTAGGGTTTTTCAGGGTCTATCTCCTCCCCATCTCCTTCTCCACCCTTTAAAAAAGCATTCTTGCCGGGCGGTGGTGGCGCACGCCTTTAATCCCAGCACTCGGGAGGCAGAGGCAGGCGGATCTCTGTGAGTTCGAGGCCAGCCTGGACTACCAAGTGAGTTCCAGGAAAGGCGCAAAGCTACACAGAGAAACCCTGTCTCGAAAAATCCAAAAAAAAAAAAAAAAAAAAAAAAAAAAAAGCATTCTTACCCTGCAGATCAGGCAAACAGCCCCACAAGACTTACCTTGTGGCCCCTGCCTTGGGACCTTGATGCCATGCACATGGAATCTGGGGCAGGGAGAAGGAAAACGGGTCCCTCACCCACCCCTGAGAGTCTTAGCCTTGCTGTGGTGCACAGCAACCCGCCCCCACTCCTTGAAGTAGGCTTCAGATCCATTCTGACTCCAGCTTGGGAAAGAAAGGTACACACAGACACATCCTAATGGTCTCTAACAGCTTAACTCAGAGCAGTGCCAACTGTCATTTCCCATCCAGACCGTCTCTGTCGTCACCAGATTCCCCCAAAAAGAATAAGGAGGGAAATGGAACTCAGAGCAGCAGCTGCCTGGCATGCCTGGCATTCCTGGCATTTGAGGGGTCTGAGTCTTGCTACCTGAATGATTCAGTGAGGAAATTTGTTGATTTCTTCCGGGGCGCCCCTGAGCAGGGTTTCCTGCCCTCAACTCTCAGGAATCCCTGTGGTTCCCTCACCCCAAGGAATTCTTTGAAGTGGAGGAAGAAAACAACTGGCATTTGTTGGTCAGCAAACAGAAAAGAAGAGGCCCTGCCCACGAGCGGCAGAGCTACTGAGCAGGTTATGGGTAACATGATCATGTTACCACAAAGCAAAGACATGGGGCCTGACTGGGGTGTGTGCAGCAAGGCTGCCATAGCTCTTATTTGGGTCCAGTATGATGTAGTGACCATCTCCTCAAGCCCCTGGCAGATGCCAGGGTCAGCTTGCCTCAGCCACCTGTCTGTACCCTATGAAGTGGGGGACAAGTGCGGCATCTGGGGTCTCTCCGCAAGCGACAAAGCTCAGACTTGCATAAGAAAGATCTTAGCTGTGTGAAGTGTAGATGTGTCCCTGTTGTGACATGAAAGGTTTTCAGAGCCAAGAGGTTCCTCAGAGGGTGAATCCCTCGATCACCTATAAACATGGAAACTAAGATCCAGAAAGGCCCTAAGTTGCTTGGAAATAAACGAGTCTTGACTGAAAATTTCTAGATTTCTAAATAATCACATAGAATGGACCCATAAAATTGTTAACATCTCTGTGAATCTGTGTCTACCATAAATAAAATGTGTTTACCTTTTGCCCACAGACTGCTGTGCCAAGGGTACTCAGGTTTTAGCCTACTGCCTGTAGTTCCCTACACATCCACCAGGTGGCCCTGACATTGCTAACCTGGGCTTCTGATCCCAAGAGCCAGGCATCTCTTCCAGGTGTGAGGGAGTGGAGAGAGTGCTTGTCTGATGCCCACTCATCTCCCATTTCAAATTTAATCCGAACAGCAAGGAAAATTTGTGTCTTAAAATTCCAGGGATTCAGTGCAGTAATGAATGGGTGCTGGAGAGAGAGGCTGGGATGTGTCTTCAGATGCGACAAATCCTGGCATCTCCAGAGACCTCAGAGCCTCCTTGACCCCATGCTTCACAGAGCTGAGATGCTGGTGGTGAGGCCCTGAGACAGCACCAGGCCCCAGATGTGCTGGACACTCATTATTGGGGCTCTGCCCCAGGTCCAGCCCTGGGGAGTCAAACACTGACAGTCTTGGGGAACAAGCCATAGGGGATGCCAGGCTTCTCCCTGCCATGTTAGCAGGGCACGGAGAACAACGCAGGAGTCCTAGGCCACAGCCTGACAGGGTCTTGCCTCTCTGAGCTGCCTACCCCAGGAAGGCCAGAGCAATGTCTCTGTGACACTTCATACCAGGAGCCCATTGTCTGTGGTCGGTTACACCCCTGCCTAGGAAGAGGGGCATGGCACACGCTGGCTACAGTGGCTACGGCAGAGTCTGTGACAAGCGTTGTTACCAACACTGGCAGCTGGAAGATGGTGTGCATCTATGGTTCACCTACAGAAGAACAGATTTCAGGTTATTCTTATATAAACATCACTTTCATTCAGTTGGCAGTCTTTCTAGAATGTTCTGGGCTGGAGTTGGAACAATCCGAGAGAGAATTGTGACCATACGTCCCCTTGGGATGGCCTTGGGGCCATAGAAAAGGCCATGTTTTTTTTTTTATCTGTACTAAAGTCACTCTGATGTTTAAGGAGCAGTTCCTGGTCAGGGGGTTGCTAGTGGCTCCTCCTCAAGGGTGAGGGAAGGACAGAGGTGAGGATGGAGGAAGAAGAGGTTGCAGGGCTGAGGAGAGCAGATCTGTGGACAGCTGGCAGGACAGGTGTCATCCTGGGCCAAACACAGCCATTTGTCAAGGACCTGGAAGTCTAAGGACTTTCCAAGCCACACTAAGTGGGTGATTGTTCCCAGAGATCCAAAGGGGCCATGAGTCTTATCCATCCTTACCAGGGCAGGAACTAGGGACAAGTGACCATGGTTGTCACCCAGGGGAGGCTGGGAGTCCCGAGCAGAGAGAATGACAACAGAAGTAGGAGTAAATGCCGGATGCCTGACGTGTTTGGGGTGCAGGATCCTTGGGACACAGATTTATGGGGGGTGGGGGCGACGGGACAGGTTCTGCAGACTTGGGCTGAGTGCACAGAACTCTGGAATGCACTTTTGGAAGGTGAATCTGCGTGGGCGAGTACAACATGTAGCTCGCGGGGAACCCCTAGGTATTGACATGTGGTGTGGATGGAAGTGGTGGGGTACAGATGTGAATGCCAGTTCATGAGTGGAGGTGATGGCTGGACCATGTGAGCGACATCACGGACAGGGGCATGGACACCTCCAGGCCACACAGGATACCAATAAGGTGCAGTCCTGGAGCCAATTCTGCGTGGGATTTCTCTCCCTTCAGCCTTAGTTGCCTTCTTTATCCCATAAAACAGGGCCAGATAAGAGGGCTTCATCAGCCCCTTCTGCTATGGGCCTTCCAGAATGATTCAACTGGGGAGCATCTCCATTACAAAGCTGATAAGGCCGTGGTACTATCTCACTTCTGACTTCTGGATCAACCCAAGACAGTGTCATGAGAGTTCATGTTATGCCAGTTTCAGCGAGGACTGCTGTGCTACCCACTGTCTGGCTCCCCCTTCGGACTGGAGTGTGATGGAACTGCATAAAGCTGCTCTTCTGCCCAAAGCTGCTCTTCTGCCCAAAGCTTCCTGGCCCTTCCAGGACACGGAGCACCTGGATGGCCTCCTTCCCTGAAGGTGATGGGGAGAAGGGTAAGCCACGAGCCAGGGCTGCAGGATGCTCTGCTGTGCTACATCCCTCCTTCCCCGGGCTTCTCACTTGCTTTCCCCATGAAGCAGCAAGTCCGCTGTGAGTCTCTGTGGTAAAACTGAGAAACGGCTGGGCTCAGTCCAGCCCACATCCTCCCAGCAGCCCCAGGAGACTCATCCCCAGCATCAACCACTTCCTCTTAACTATGGCCATGACCCAAGCTTTATGACAGACTCGGATGTTAGGTCAGCATTAAGCGTCTGGGCTGGGCTGACCATACACCATGCACCTGCCAGCTGTGTGGTCCTTGTTCAAATCACTGATGTCATTTTAAATTCCACTAGGAAGAAGCTGGATTTGTCCCCGAGGGTGGCAGACAGGACAGTATTCATCTGGCAAATCTCCTGGCAGGTAGGTCTGGTGAGGGTCATCACCTTGGAAGGGATAGGTCCCCTCCACTGGGCACTAAACAAGCAACATGTCCTCTGTACTTCACAGTCTAGGTAGCCCTTTCCATGCTCATTGAGTCATTCAATGAACCGAGAGCAAGCACTGGACTGGTCATTAGGGCCGTGGATTTGATCCTGCTCTGGGTTCCCCTCAAAATTTCTCTCTGTGGATGTGGGGAGATGGCTCAGTAGGCCAAATGCTTGCTGCATGAGCTTAGGGCCTTGAACTTGGATCCTCCACACCCACGTCAAAAAGCTAGTTTTGGAGGCAAGTACAGTTAATAGTCCAGCACACTGCATACCCCTGGAGTTTTGTGTCTTCTCGACCTACCATGGACAGCAACGGTGACAGCTAGACTGCCCAACAAGCATAATCCACACCCTCCCACGTCTCCCCTTCCTGTGCCTCAGTTTCCCCTGGTGCATCCAAAAGGTCCTCCCTCTATCATAGACATGGGTAGATCTTATGACTCCAAATCTGCTGTGGACTCAGTAAACTGAAGAGCTCAGTCTCCAGCTCCATAGGCAGGTCCAGAGCCCTAAACCAGGACAGATGCAGTTAGCCTGGCTGACTGGGCACGAGGCACTGGACCAAGGTTGAGATATATACACAACTCATCCAGCACACACACTATTGCAACCTGAGCTCTTGCTGTCCATCACTGGTGACGTCTGCATCCTGGAGCCAAGTCCCAGCTGTCACTAAGGTTTCATCTCTCCCCATGGAGAGCTCCACATTGTAAATCAGGTGCCTGTGGATGAGAGAAGGGGAGGAGGGCTGTGGAATGCTGAAATCCCACATCAGCACTCAGATGGCAGGGCCACTGGCCTTTTACACAGCGATAGGGCTCCAGGTCCTGTCCATGTTCCCAGGCCCTCCACGCACTGCATGAGGATGAGTTGAACACAAAAGGGATCCTGGCTCTGCCTCAGGTAGTTTCAACTCAACTTCTAACCCTATCTGGCTTCATATATTGCTCCATGCAAGGAGGAGGGTCTCTGGATGAGCACTCAAGGGAACCCTGACTTTGGCTCTCTCGGGCTCTCACATGGGAGACCTAGGTTCAAAACCGGAGGGTGTGAGGAGGCTAAGCTGGGGTCTCATTCCTGGTCTCTTTCTCTTTTGGATGGCAGTCTGCATCCTAACACCTGGACATCTGGTGCTATGGCAGTCCTTTTATAATGCCATAAATGCTCCAGGATGTCAGTATTAGAAAGCACCACCGTCTGGTATCCCAAGAAAGAGTAAGCCACTGCCACAAAAGATGGGACAAGCTAGACCCATAAGCTGTGACGTGATGCTTCCTGCTGCTTTCAATCCTTTTCAGGATGTGCATGTGTGTTGGGGGAGGGGTTGCATGTATGTAGTTTCACATGTGTGTTGGTGTGTGTGTATCTATGTGCACCTGAATGTGGAGTCAGGGCTTGATGTTAGGAACTATCCTCAATCATTCTCCCACCTTATTCTTTGAGGCAAGGTCTCTCAAGCAAGCCAGAGCTCACTGATATGGATAGTCATGCTGGCCAGTTCATCTTGTCTCTGCCTTGCGAGGCCAGGATTACACATAGTTCGCCATGTCTACCCAGAATTTACAGGGGGTCTGGTGGATCCGAACTCTGGTCCTTGCACTTTGCTGAGCAAGCACTTAACTGCTGAGGTGTTTCTTCAGCAACCCCAAGACTTTCCCTTCTTATTCTGTGTTTATCAAGAGAGATCCTTTGGATACATTTAGATTTAGTTTAGTTTTTTTTTAATTGCATGCTACCTCTATGCACACAAAAAAGGAAATACAAGCAAAATAAATGAATAAAGGTCTTTCCCAAATGTCTTCACATTCAGAGTTCATCTTTTCCAAACTGTTATCTTTGGGACCACTCCTTTCTGTGTTGATTTGAGAGAATTTGTGTCCAGACCACCTTCAGTGTTACTACAGAAGGTCCTCTGCTGGCTCCAGATGGTTCCCACTGCCATCGTGTGCATCAATATATAACAACTTTATCATGACTGTCACCTGTAAGCACTAACCTATAACTGTAAGGTACATCACCATGTTAGAGATGACACAGCAAAATCATCATCGTCATCATCATCATCATCATCAATCATCACCATCATCATCTAGACTCTGACTTCATGCCTTGAAGGAAAAATAACTCAAAATACACCATGTAGGTCTGTGAAATGGCTCAGCAAGTAGAGGCTATTTGCTATTGAACTTAATGATAATGTCCCTCCCTCCCCCAGGCTCATATATTTAAATACTTGGTCTCCAGTTAGTGGAACTATTTGGAAAGGATTGGGAGGTGTGGCTGCGTCAGAGGAAGCATCTCACTGGGGAAGGGCTTTGAGGTTTCAGAAGACTCCTGCCATTCCCAGTTCACTCTCTCTGTCTCATGCTTGGGGATCAAGATGTGAGCCTCAGTTACTGGTCCAGATGCCTACCTCTGTGCCCTTGTTCTGCCATCATGAATCCCAACCTCTGGAACCATAAGCCTAATTAAATTCTTTCTTTTATAAATTGCCTTGGTCATGATGTCTTATTATAGCAATAGATAAGACACAGTATGAAGTATAAATGTGTTCTTACCACCTGGAATATAAAGTGTCCCTTTCTGCCTCACATGTCCCTTATGATCACTGGTAGAAAAGAAGAGATTTTTAAAGAGATTCTGTCTCCCTCAATCTAAATATCAGATGATTGGAACAATGATCCCAAAGAAATGGGACTTTCCCTGAGAAACTCGTGCTGGGAGAAGAAAAATGTCCCAGCCAGAGGGGGAACTTGTCTCCTGGGAAGAGATTTCACACAGTTTGAACAACTCTTGAGGCCATCTCACAGGGTGAGACTAAGCCCAGACAATGAGGTCAGTTGTGGGTGGGACTACACCTAGACAAGACTTGTTGAGATGTGTGTAACTTTGGCCCTCTAATTAAACTTCACTCTCAGTTCAGGACCCCCAAGGCAGACTTGTCAGGGAGTGTAACCGGATCTCTCTGTCTCTCTTCTCAATGTGGTCACATTGAATAGATCTCCTTTTTCTGATTTCCACTTTTAATTTTGTGCCTTTAATTGGCTTATTGAGGACAGACAACTGAACCTGGCTTGGGGTACAATATGTGATAACCTCCCCACGCCTTAGTTACTGTTCTATGGCTGTGAAGAGACCCCATGACCAAGTCAATTCTTAAAATAGAAGGCATTTAACTAGGTGCTTGCTTACAGTTTCAGAGGGTTAGTTCATGATCATCATGGTGGGAAGCAGGCAGGCATGGAACTGGAGCAGTCGCAGAGAGAGACACTGGGCTTGGATTGGACTTTTGAAACCTCAAAGCCTTCCCCCAGTGACACATTTCCTCCAACAAGGTCACACCTCCCAGTTCTTCCCAAACAGTTCCACTAACTGGGGACCAACCATTAAAATATGAACCTGTGGGGGCCATTTTCATTTGACCTACCACACCCAAGTTTGGCAATATCAGGAATATTTGTTGAGCATCTGCTGTGTGCTAAGTCAGAGACCCCAGCAGGGAACAAGAGGAAGACCCCTCATGAGGCTTGAATGCTAATCACACAGTCAATGACTCTTAAGTAAGTCATGTCCTAGTGCTTCATATTATAGTTGAATAGCACTACATGATGTGAAGGACACTGCATAGGGTTCTTATGATGAGAGAGATGGGGCTCAGACCAGTGGTACCTAGAATGGTGGCAGTGTCGGGGGCTCTCTCTAAGAAAGAGGCAATTGAGTGAGGACATTCAAGAAAGAACCTGGAGAAAGGGGCACCTTGGCCCCGCCTATGTACCTTGGCCCCGCCCATGCTTCCTTATATTTGAGGAACAGCAGAACCAATAGGGTCAGAGCATAGCAAGCAGGGGCCAGAGTGGATTAGTGTGGAGGGGGAAGGCAGGACTAGGTGCTGGAGGATTAGGAAGTCTTGGAAAAGAGGTTGCAGACCTAGTCCAAAGTACAGAAGGTGCGCAGACGGTGGAGAGCAAGCATGCTCTTTAAGACCAGGGCAAGCTGTGAAGCTGCAGAGAGAAAGAGTTCAAGTTCCAGATTGGTTAGGAGCCCTTGGTGATCACCAGGGCCCAGCCACAAAACAGGAAACCCGGAGGTGATGAACAGTCTGTCCCCAGAGGTATGCAAGTATCTTAGACACAGAGAGGCCAGAGCCTGGAAGGGAGGTTGGTGATTATTCTGTGAAATCAGCAGAGAAAAACATCCAAAGTTGGTAATAATGCTTAACAGTGTTCACAGTGGCAGAGGATCCACTTCAAACATTTTAGCAGCAACCTGCTGGGATCCAGGCAATCTCTGGAAATGATTTATTTACATAGAAAAATGAGACAGCCCCTGGGGCGAGGCTCTTATTGGTCAGCGCCTCTCAGGGCCACAGGCTCAGGCCGTCCTCCCTACAGCCTAGGCAGGGGGCTGATTGCTCTCCCAGGGGAGGTGGAAGGCCTGCCAGCCATCATCCCAGAGTTCCTTCTCCAAAATAAGCCCTCAGGAGCATTTTAATGTGTGGCTGAGCCTGAAGTACAGTCAACATTTCATTCCAAGAATGCAGATGAGCTCCCGCAGGGCTTGCAAGAGGCAAACGCACTGGCCCAGAACACCTTTTTGAAAGGCTTGAGTTTGGCCCAGAAAATGTCACTTTTTCAGTCCAGACTTGGGAAACCGAGGCTGGGGAGTCGGGGGCCCAAAATCTCACTAGGAGAAAGGGCGAGGCTGCCGGCTTTTAATCCTGTGGAATCCTCAAGGCTTTCTCTGTTGTTTGGAACGTGGTCATCCTGCAAGGCAAGGGGCCCTTGGAAGGAGAATGGAGGATCACCATTCACAGATGGTCTGACAGGAGGAATTTGTCATAAGCTTCTGCTGAGGCTGTGCTGGACATGCAGTGGTGGCCCACCAGAGAAACCTGAGTTCTGAGAGGCCTAGTGGTTAGGGCCAGTGAGCCTGCCATAGGGATGAGGGTTACCTATATGAACAAAAGTTCCTGAAAAGATCCAGGCCTTCCTCTGACCACCCCCCTGCCAGACGGACTAACTGATCAGAATTTTAATAACTATGGAGAAGTTGGAATGTTGCAGGTCCAAACCCCAATTTAATTTACTCGAGACTATATTCAGCCCCCTGATAGCCATTCCTGCCCATCTCTGTGTTTAACCTAAAGACCTGTGACTAACACCTGAAACCTTTGGGATTCCACCAAATAAGGGCTAAGAGAGCCTCTGAGGCCTGGAGTGTGATCCCTGAAAATCACGAGGAGAAAGGGCCAAATCCGCGATTGTCCAACTAAAGCAAGCTGTATCTTGGGGTGCACCTGGGACTGGCCAGCCAGATGTCTCACCCTATCAGGATTTGAAAGAGTGGCCCCTACTGGCCTCCCGAGGTCTCTTTTATAGAAGAGACAGGTGTTCACAGTGGCCAGAGAGTTGACTGTTATACATTGTTAGAAAACTGCAATTAAAAAAAAAAGAAAAGAAAAGGAAACCACAGCGAAAGGGAAGGAACAGGGGTCAGGATATATATCATGTGAACAGGGTTGCAGGTTTAATGTAGGTTGAAAAACATGCTTTGCAGTTTGCATCAGATCTAAGAAACAGGAACTTATTCTTAATTACAAAAGGTACCTTCACTTGCAAGGACTTAACACAGGACAAACAGGAACTTATTCTCTAACTATTTAAGGATTTACAAAGGACAAACAGGAACTTATTCTTAACTGTCTTGACTGCAAACAGAAACCTTAACCTGGAAGCTATATTGTTCCTGTTTTGGTCTCACAAAAGCTAAAATTTCTCAGTTTTTCTAGAAACTGCTTACCCAATGTTTTCGGTAATACACCTGCAAACTATCTCAATTTATACTTTTCTTTGTTCCATAAAAGCTCATGGAATCGTTACCGCAGAGGAATACGGAATTTTGGAACAACCTAAGCCTGTGTTTCCAAGCTACCGTCACTCACATTTGGCTGCAGAATAAGCCATCACTTGTCTCTTTTGAAGTGAGAGTTGCCTCTCTGAGTCAAGACCCAGGACTCTGATTCCAGGCCTGGATCTGTGTGCAGCATCTCCACAGCTCTGGGGGATTAAGGACAATGTTTTCTGCAAAGACAGAGTCCCTAAAGGTCAGAGCATGGGGCACAGAATGGTAGGCCACCATCTGTCTACCTCCTCCCTCTATTCCAACCTTGGGAACACCATGTGACCCAAAGCTAAGCCAGTGGATCTGATCCATCTTCAACTTTATATCTCAAGCAAGCCACACCTCAGCTCCAAGCCTCAGTTCCCTCAACTGTGAAAGAAGGAAAAACAAATTGCTGGTCTGCCCTCCTTCTGTTACCTGACTGAGACCATCTGCCCACCACCCAAAGGCCAATATTCAGGAGAGGAAAGCTACTGAGAAGGAAATCAGGTTTAGTCAAGGACTAGTACCTTGAGAAGATGGGAGAGTGGAGGTTACTGTTACCCCCAAAACACTCTTAAGGATTCAGATATGTCAAAGGGCTTGCACAGGTTGGGAGAAAGCAAACGGCATTGGACACAAGACCTCATCATGAGGGTGTGTGTGTGTGTGGGGGGGTGCTGTCCAGGGCACATGTCCTTTCCATTTTTGTTTTCTTTTTTAAAGATTTATATTTATTTTTGTTTGTGTGTGCACAGGTGCCCTCAGAGGCCAGAAGAAGATATTGGATCCCCTGGGGCTGGAGTGACAGGAGGTTGAGAGATGTCTGATGTGGGTGCTCGGAACCAACTCTG